ATGTGCTGAGACCGCTGCACGCGTCACCGAGCAAACAGGAAGGGGACTTTCAAAATTCCCAAGGAATTTAAAGGGGGATGTGGGGATGAGGGTTGGTCACCTGAGGGCAGGGCAGTAGAGTTCAAACCGATGACCAGAGAGGCGAGAGCAGGCATTGTGGGACGCCTCCCGGAGGCCAGTCGCAGCGCTGTAATCCACCAGGGTGTCTACACCGGCGCCGAGCGCCGCACGCCTCTCATCGGGGTGGTGTTTTACAGCGCTGCAGCTGCGCCGTTTCTGCGCACTAAGCGGCTTGGCGGAGTGTACGCCTCGGGAGTTACACTGCCGAAAGCGGCTTTAGTGCGCAGAGACTTGCCAGTGTACACAAGGCCTCAGAGAGTCATATTCATTTTCTCTGATCTTTTCTGGACACAGTTCAGCAGCCTTTCAAATCCAGTGTTGGCATTCTACCTTCATAACTGCTTATTTCCTAAGGTTTTTATCCAGTTGAAACATTTTGAGTTAGGTCATTGATTTGGTTCAAATTTAGCTGATGCATCCCTTCTTCCCAAACACAATGTCTGAAGTGATTGGAACTTCTGAGTGATAGGAGCCCTTATATGATAAAGCAGCTCATGGCTGAGGGAAAAAGAGGTTATGGTGGACACTTACTGGGAAGAACAATGCAGTGCTAGAGGAAGCAGCATATGCCAGTTGCAAACGTGCGGCGCCATGAGGAAGACTGATATTCAGATCCAACCTTTAAGTGGAGTTGACCAAAAATCAGAGTGACCATTCTGCAGGAAAGTTCAGTGTTCTAGCATTTAGCTTTGTTCTGGACAGGGGCAAAAAGTCAAAATACCGAAACTTCAGAAACAATTTAATTCACAAATGTTAAAACATTTGGTTTCAGCTTTAACATTAGTCTCCGGGTCTGCTTGAGCTGCCATGGGTGTCTCATGAGGCTTGCTGGTCAGAGGCCTAATTAGGGTTGCCAACTTTCTAATTGCACAAAACTGAACACCCTTGCACCACGCCTACCCTGAGGGCTCCCCCCCCAGTCCCTTATCTGGGGCCGCACCCCCACTCACTCCAGCCTCCCTTTCTCCATCAGTCGCTCACTCTCACCCACCCGCACTCACTTTCAATGGGCTGGGGCAGGGGGTTGGGGTGGAGGAGGGGGGTGAGGGCTCCAGCTGGGGGGTGCGGGCTCTGGGGTGGGGCTGGGGATGAAGGGTTTGGGGTTCAGGGGGGGTCTCTGGGCTGGGGCCGAGGGTTTGGAATGCAGGAGGGGGCTTAGGGCTGGGGCAGGGCGTTGCGGTGTAGGAGGGGTTGTGGGGTGCAGGTTCTGGGAAGGAGTTTGGGTGCAGGAGGGGGTTCCGACCTGGGGCAGAGGGTTCGGGGTGTGGGAATCCAGCTGGGCAGCACTTACCTCATGCGGCTCCCAGTCGGCGGTGCAGTCGGGCTAAGGCAGGCTCCCTGCCTGTCCTGGCTCCATGCTGCTCCTGGAGCACAAGTACCATTACATGAAAATCTCTCCTTGAGTATGTCACAGTTCAGGGAAACTGTACCTGTATTTCCCCCAGTGGTCTAGCAAGGGCACCCACTCTTCGGATTCTGGCTCCCTTGTTGTTGACTCTTTTGCATGAAGACCTCATCTCACTCCCTCTAACTAGGATATTTCCAGGCTCTACAGTTCCCTGCCTTGTATTTCCAAGCAAAGACAGCCTGCCTGAACAGACTTGCTTTCTTTTTTCTTCAGAGACCGATAACGGAGGGATTGCTGCAGTTACCTCCCAGGTCTTTCTAGCCTCCTTTATTCCAAAAGTAAAAAAAAAAAAAAATATGGTGAAAACATATTAAAAGACCCTACACACATGCTAATATACTTACCAGAGTTCATCGTACCATGGACTTTGGCAGGTCCAGGCTTTCCATCCCTACCCAAAGGATTGGGGCCCTCCATGTATCAAGAAGAAGGCCTTGAGTCAGTTTAAACTCAAGCCGTTTATCCAAAAGTCCTTTCCTTAGTCTGTGGAGAATCCAGCTCGAACTAGTATATGTGTATCCCTCCAGGGTATGACTTTAAAGGGTTGATAACAGATGAAGTTCATTAGCATTCCCCCGCTCCCTACTAGAGAAGGTACGCACAATGCCACAATAACACTGACACAATTGCATTTTTAATACAGTATACCCCAAAGGTATTAACCCTAATTCAATAAGGTTTAGCTTAATTCAATAAAGGCTATCTTAATTCCATACGGTGTGTCCAGGGTATTAAAGGATATTGTTAGCCTGTCACAGCATGGTCAAAGGGCCTTGAGTGTACAGTTTGCTCAGGGGTGAATTTTGCCTGTCAGCTGGTCCAGCGAGTGGCAATGATGCTGGAGGAGACAGCCTCTCAGGCTTTGTCGTCACTGACACAAAGTTGTTTGGGTCTTTTTTTTTTTTTTAACAGCAAGGTAACTAACAGGGGGATAGCTTTCTAGCTGTAAAATCCTAAGTGGTGACAAGGCACTTGTAGTGTCTACCATGAGGTATTGAAGCAAGGTCAGCACTATACTCCCTGCCCGCAGTTAACCTTGCTTAGTGTACCTCATAGTGAAACTACAGTGCCTTGTCTCCCCTGTGTACTTACAGAAGGATAGCATAGTAAACTAATAGGCTCAATCCGCAGCAAGGAAGCTATAGGTTAGGAAAAAGTTTCTAACTGTCAGGTTAGTCTCTGGAATAGGCCTCCAAAAGAGGTTGTGGAATCATAGAAGATTAGGGATGGAAGAGACCTCAGGAGGTCATCTAGTCCAATCCCCTGCTCAAAGCAGGACCAACACCAACTAAATCATCCCAGCCAGGGCTTTATCAAGCCGGGCCTTAAAAATCTCTAAGGATGGAGATTCCACCACCTCACTAGGTAACCCATTCTAGTGCTTCACCACCCTCCTAGTGAAATAGTATTTCCTAATATCCAACCTAAACCTCCCCCACTGCAACTTGAGACCATTACTCCTTGTTCTGTCGTCTGCCACCACTGAGAACAGCCTAGTTCCATTCTCTTTGGAACCCCCCTTCAGGTAGTTGAAGGTTGCTATCCAATCCCCCCTCACACTTCTCTTCTGCAGACTAAATAAGCCCAGTTCCTCAGCCTCCCCTCATAAGTCATGTGCCCCAGTCCCCTAATCATTTTCACTGCCCTCCGCTGGACTCTCTTCAATTTGTCCACATCCTTTCTGTAGCGGGGGGCCCAAAACTGGACGCAGTACTCCAGACGTGGCCTCACCAGTGCCAAATAGAGGGGAATAATCACTTCCCTCCATCTGCGGGCAATGCTTCTACTAATGCAGCCCAATATGCCGTTAGCCTTCTTGGCAACAAGGGCACACTGCTGATTCATATCTAGCTTCTCCCCATCATTGGAGGTTTTTAAAAACAGGTTAGACAAACGCATGTCAGGGATAGGGCCAGGTTCACATGGTCCTGCCACAGTGAAGGGGGATGGACGTCATGGCTTCTCAAGGTCCCTTCCAACCTTACATTTCTATGATTCTATGAAAATTTGCACTTTTTTTTTCTTAGGGAAGACATAGGCTCAGTCGGAGAAAGGGTGTCACAATTAGGGCAGAGGACAGAAAGGATGAATATTGAATGTTGTATAAGCAGTATGTATATTTGTAGTCTTTAAAATGCTGATATCCAAACCCGCAGTACAGCACGGATAATGTGTACTAAATCACTCTACTATTTCAGTGCTCAATGTGCACGCAATTCTGCCATACTATAGTTTTGCCTCGGGACAGGCTCAGCAAAGGCTTCCTGCACTGGCCATAGGAATATCCACTATTTCTCAGAATGCAGGAGGGAGGGCAAGCTGGTGATTGGGATGCAGACGGCACTGTATCATGTACAGGCAGAACAACATGAGCAATGAATGCCTCTTCCCCCTTGTCACTGACTGAGTCCAGCCAGGTTTACAGGGTTGCTTCTTAGCAGTTACTACTGAAGCCTACACTTTGACAGCACAGTAAACCTGAGAATGTGGGCTATCCTGTCAAGTATGTCAGCTTGTTTAAAGGTCACTTGCTATCAGGATCAAAAGCATATAGGGGCCTCCCCCCTCCCTTACACACATTCTTTGGGTGGGAGGGGGGAGGCAGGCAAGCACAGAAAAGCCTTTGAAAAGTTTGTATAAACTATGTAATTGGGTGCATTTGCCAAAGCATGGCTGTGTTCTTTGTGAAGGCTTCGCGAAGAACATTACTCTGATTCTTCTGTAGGCCTTCAGAAGTGTGGATCCTTTCAAAAGCGTAGAGTGTGAAGGATTACAAATTTGTTTTTCAAAAGACCCCCAAATACCTGCTGGGTTCACCAGCCCCCTCACCTCTTCTCCCCCCTCCCTCCAGTGGCAGCGCCCCTCTCCCCACTCCCAGCTCTAACTCCAAGCTGCCCCCAACTGGTGCTGTCTCTCCTATGCCTCTCTCTGGGACTCTCACTGTCTCTTCTTTTTTTTAGCTCCCCCCCTCCCCCGGGTTTTTTTATGCAAAGAAAAGTGTAGGAAAGCATTGCCATGGCAACAGTGTCGCAGTGGGCTATTGGAGTTGATGGGCGTTCTAAACTTTTAAAATAATGGCCTCGAAAGAACAGGAAGGGGACAGAGAGAGAGAGAGAGAGTGAGCGAGCAAAAGCAATGAAAAGTGGGACAAAAACACTGGAAATGCATTCAGCCTGACATCATCACCCTTTCCCACAGTGGCCGTTCACTTGTGAGGCCCTAGTGTTGATTCACTGTCTTAAAGCTAGCTTTCTAGAGCCTGGGGAGACCATCTTTCCCTGCCTGAATGCCTTTTTTGTTGTGAAACAGTGGACTGTTTCTGAAGCCCTGCATAAAGGGCTGAGTAATTCACTTCAGTTGCCAGGAAGTCTGAGCCACTTGTGAGCTAACAATAGTTAACTTTATCTCCCACCCCAAGCTGAAAGTTCCAGCTGTAGGTCCCGAATTCTAATAAGGGCTTCACTCATGCCTCTGAGGTTATGGTAATATTTTACACATCTTTTTTCATTAAGACACAGTCATAGCTACTGTTGAGGCACCGGAGGCAACTCCTGTCGATTGATGGAAAAAAATAAAAAAGGAAAGCAGGAAAATAGCTTTTATGTAAGCCAGACAGACTTGCTGTTTAATTCTAGAATTCTAAACTGATTTGGGAGAAGCAGGAGAACTTAACTTTAACCAATTACATTATACATTTCTGAGTCAAAGACCTTCCGGTTGCTTCAGATTTTTAAAATAGTCTCAGTTTTTAGAATTTGGGGTGGTTGTTTTTTTTCTCTGTTCCTGCACAGGAGGGATGATTGGTGATAAGGAGCAGAGTGAGTCATGAGGAATGGAGATGAATTTGTTTGGGTTTCCCTTTTCATCCAGATTTGGATTTCATCCTGCACCATGACAGCACAGCTGAATGCCTGTGATGACACACAACTGTGATTCATGCAGCAGACCTGCAAAGCCAATAATCAGGGTATGTTTTTGAAAGGAGATCGAGAACAGCAATTTTCTTCTTTACATTCCAAAATAGTTGCCTCCGTGAGAATTAATAAAACCAAATTCAATGTGGAAACAACCTCAGATAACTATCTAGGCTTCTAATATTTGGTGATTTAAAATTATTTGCTTATTTCCCACTTTCAAGTAATAGTCAACAAGACTGCACTTTGTTTCAGTGCCCCTCTTTACATTTTCTTGTTGCGTATAAAAGACAGCAGTATTCAAACAGCTCTTTTGTGCCTTTGGCTAATGCTTCTTCCCCACTGTGCCTTGAGAACTAGCTATAAGAATGCTTGGATGAAAATAAAAACACAATTCTTTAACCTCCACTTAATACATTATTAATTTTAAAAATTGATTGAAGGACATATGCAATATTTGTGAAATAAAACAACACATGCTCAGTACATCTCCTATTTAAGGCAACACTGTGTCCTTGAGCTGTACAAAGGACTCCAGCTGATGCCAGAGGCAGCTGTCTGTGTTGTGGATCAGGTCACTATAAGCAAATGCATTGTAAATAAGTTACTTGGCCTTTTGGATAAGATTAAGTGCAGTAGGATGCACCCAACCCATGTACTTATTCTCTACACCAATACTGACTTGGACTCTTAATACATTCCATGGGTGGTGCACCTGAGCCCACTTATCCACTGACAGTTTAAAAACTCCTACACCCCAATCTGGATCTATGGTGGTTATGTGATATGTATGTACCTGGTGAACCTTGTAACCGATACTTGCAATCCCCCATAACCCAAGCCTGATCCCAGATGTACAGTACCTTCCCTCTTAACTTGTGTAAATTTGATTTTAAACCTTAACTTTAATATCCAGCATCAATGTGACCTCTATCAGGGGAGAATACCCTGCCTTTCTAGGAGGATGGACTGAACACTTATGCTGATCTTTTTCCTCCCTAAGAGCTGTGATTTCTGATCTTCACTGTGAGTTTGCCTTGACTAGGATGAAAAGCTGGTTTTTGGACTGTGCTTGCTGACGTTTAAAAAAAACCCCAAACCCATCTTTTTATCTTAGTCAAGACAAATCCTGTGAGAGAAGCATCAGGCACCACAATCATATAAACCACAGAAGACAGACAGAAGGTTTGGGGGAGAGTCATTTTATGCAAGATGTTAATCATGAAATAACTTTAAAGGCCTTGAATCTACTCCAATGCTTGCAATTGAAAACACTGATCTTCTAGCAGGGCAGCTCCCGGAGCTCTCAGAGCTCTGTCACTCCACATGACCTGAAACAGGTGAACTGAAGCTGAATGTATTAAGTCCCATCTGAATGAAAGGAATTAACTAGCTAATAATTCTCAGTGGTAAAAACAGAATGGCTAATGTACATATGATGAATGAAAAGTCATCCATTCCTCTACACTGCAAAAGACTTCAGAAATCATGACAGGGCTTTACTGTCCTCAAATGATCATTTCACTTAACTCTTGAGATCAGGTTTAGTATATCATTGTTGGAAATGTATATTCATATATAATTTTACTTAGCCAGTACATAGCACATTTTACAAAGCACATTGCAAAAAATGAAGTGTTCCTTATGACTTCCCCTGTGAAGAAGGAACCGAGCATTAGACTTTATTTCCAGAAAGGAAAATGGAGGGCGAGAGGTTAAAGTGACCTGACTGAACCTACAGAGAGAGAGAGATAGTGTCCAAGCATGGATTAAAACTCAAGAGTTTCGGACTCAGTAGCCCATGCGTTTCTCTGTGAGGGCCTGATCCTGTGAAACACTGATTACCCCTGATTTGCCTCACTGGCTGCTGTACACCCCAGGATAAAATCTTTCAGGCCAGATTTTCAAAAGTGCTCAGCATTTTGAATTCTTTGAAAATGTGGCTGTTTATTTAGGTGACTAAATGGGAGCTGAGCTCTTCTGAAAACTGTGATCCAGTTATAGGTGCTGAACACGAAAATCTGACCCTGACCTCTTTTGAAAATGTGGCAGTTAATGTATATTTTTACTACATATCAAATGTGTCCATGATACCCTTTTAATCAACTCCTATCTCCCAAACTATGGTACACATTTCAAGCAATTATGTACCTTTAAACAGGGTGACTCTTTCATAGAAAATAACAAATATTTTGTGGAACAAAAATCACCCTACACTTGAAAACATTGGGATTTTTCTGGAAAATTTTTGAGGAAATCAAGATTTTTTTTAAGATCAGATATTATATCTTGTTTTGTGAGAAATAAAAGTCTCAGCAACTACCTTGAGACTGGCTCTCTCCATGACATATTTTTTACTTTTTCTTTTTCTTAGTACTTCTACAAAGCACTCCTTTTGATCTCAGTGCTCTGCTCTGCTCTTCGCTCTCTGCTTCTAATGCTTTGCCCTCTGCTTTTAGTGATCTTTCTTTCTGTTTCCAGGCCTGGTCTCTCACTCTGAGTTTCCATTATTTAGTTGTTTTTCCTCTTGCTCTGCCACCTGGGTTCTGCCTCTTGCTCTCATTCATTTTTCTTCAAAGGCTCCATTTTTCTGTTTCCTGCCTTTCCTATTGGATCCAATCCTCTAGCTCTATTAAAAGGTTCCTGCCCCAAGTCTGAGCCATGCCTCTCAGGATTCTCAGATTGTCAGGGGCCAGTTTGGCTCCTGGCATACACTATATCTGCCTCAGCAGCGATTCTAACTTACTACCAGGCTTTTGCCATCCTCAAGGGATGATCTGGAAGCCTGAAATAGGTAAAGCACAATTCATTCAAGCCATAGCCTCTGCCTTTCCCAACAGACTCCTGGCAAGCCCCTATATTGGAGACTGCAAGGTGAGGGACGCTGTAGGGTCACTGTGCTGGCCCTACACCAACCGGGGAGTCCCTTTACACCATGGAATTCTTATGTGGGAAGATCTGGCTGCTTTTCATCATTTTTATGTCTCAGGAGTGGTGAAAAGGTACCAGAATGCAACCCACGATAGCGGCTTCTAAGTTCATGGGTCTAAGTAGGATTGTAAGACTGGAAGGGATCTCAAGAGGTCATCTAGTCCAGGCCCCTTCACACAAGGCAGGATTAAGTATTATCTAGACCATCCCTGGCAGGTGTTTGTGTAACCTACTCTTAAAAATCTTCCATGATGGAGATCGCACACCCTCCCTGAGCAATTTATTCCAGTGCTTAAGCACCCTGACATTTAGGAATTTTTTCCTAATGTCTATCCTAAATTGCCATAGCTGCAATTTAAGCCCATTGCTTCTTATCCTATCCTCAGAGTTTAAGGAGAACAATTTTTCTCCATCCTTCTTGTAACAACCTTTATGTAATTGAAAATTGTTATCATGTCACCCCCTCACTCTTCTCCAGACTACACAAACCTGATCTTTTCAGTCTTCCCTCATGTTTTTCTCTGGACTTTCTCCAGTTTGTCCACATCTTTCCTGAAATGTGGCACCCAGAACTAGACACACTACTCCAGTTGATGTCTAATCACCACAGAGTGGAGCGGAAGAATTACTTCTTGTGTCTTGCTTAGAACACTCCTGCAAATACATCCCAGAATGATGTTTGCTTTTTTTGCAACAGAGTTACACTGTTCACTCATATTTAGCTTGTGATCCACTATCACCCCAGATCCCTTTCTGCCCTATTTTGTATGTGTGCAACTGACTGTTCCTTCCTAAGCAGAGTACTTTCCATTTATCCTTATTAAATTTTATCCTATTTACTTCAGACCGTTTCTCCAGTTTGTCCAGAATCCATATCATTTTTAATTTTAATCCTATCCCCCAAAACACTTACAACCCCTCCCAGCTTGGCACTGTCTACAAACTTTATAAGTGTACTCTCTATGCTATTATCTAAATCATTTATGAAGAGATTGAACAGAACTGGACCCAGAACTGATCCCTGTGGGATCCCACTGCAGAACAATGCTTTGCTTTCAGGTCTGAGAGTAATCTCTGCTCAGTCAGAAACAACAGGGCACACTGAGCAAACAGGACTGACTGTGAGAGCTCAGAGCTGAGGAATGGCACATGGTGTGAAATGTGTGAGACATGGAATTTTGACCCCACTCCAGTTTTGAAAATGTTAGAAGTCGCCCTGATGAAAGATGATATTTGGGGAGACAGAAGGGGAGGGGAGTGTTTTGTCTTTTTAAATCAGACTCATCTTCTAGGAGCAAATATGGCCTTAATAAAACCCCAACGGGTAATGGGTCTGATGCAAGCCTCAGTTACTTCCAGATAATTCCACTGAAGTCAGTAGCATAAACCCTGCTTGTAAAGTTTTCCTGTTCATTCCCTTGGCCTGATTCTGATCATGCACCAGTTTTACACTAGCGTAACTCCTTTACACTCAAACTATGCAAGGCCAGTTCTGGGGACTGCAAACGTTTCTTTCAGATGGACAGGCTCGCAAAGTGACGTGAAAGCTGCTGGTGGGTGAAAGGAATGAAAACCAGAATAAGAGAGTGTGATATTTCTCAGAACCAGACTGCGGACACTGCAGGAAGTTGAAGAAACACAGCCAAAATGAAAGGTAGGGAGGAAAAATTGTGGCTGTAGTGAGTGCAGAACAATTACAGTGAAAGTGCCAAGAACAGGCCTGTCTTTGAATGGTTCAGGCCAGGGAATAGATTTTGCTGCAGGGCAGCAGGCAGCTCCTGTTTTTTGTTTTAAATGCTCATCTATCTGTGTAAACAGCCTGAAAACTTCACCTCTGTGTTGGGAGATGTCACTTAGAATCAAGGCACTGGTTCCGCATTCAAAAACCTGATGTTGATCATGTTCCTTCCCAGCCATTCTCTCGAGTTGTCTTTTGCAATGGGATCTAATTTTAACCACATCTCCGTCTTCATCCTTTAGGAAGTAGGAAATATTAGTCACTACATCTGATTGGTTTTACTGTTGCTTACCCCAGGGCAGCTTGTTTGGCTTATGAAAACCAGTGTCAGTTAACATTGTCATCCACATGGCCAGATGATTACGAGTAAAAGCCTAGCTATTTCCGTTTTAACTAGACAATAAGGCGCAGGAGCTGATAAATGCTGAGATAGGATAGTGGTTTTACAGAGTGAAGGGTTCTCATTAGTTTCATGCCCCCCGCCTCGCTTATGCTGGTACTGTCTTTGCCACTGCTTTTTATGATTTTTATTAACAGATTTTTGTCAGAAGAATTGCCAAACTGGCAAAGATGCTGCAGCTTAATAGTATGCATATCCCTCTTTTACAGCTCTGCCCTTGCTCCTTTTCAAACATTCTCCCTTCATGTAACGGAGAGGCCGTTAACTTGAGTGAGACAGAAATTGTTTTTGCAATGCGGTGGTTTATGTTGATTTTTTCAGCCCAATTCCTATTATTATTATTATTTATGCAGGACCAGCAGCATGCTAAGTGCTGTGCAGCTATACCTGAAGACAAGGTCTCTGCCCCAGTGGCATTAGAGTCAAAAGTTCAATCTCTCCAGTGATATATTTGAGAGAGAGGGTGGTCTTCTAAGTAAGGCACTGGCCTGTGATGCAGGAGATCAGCGTTCAACACTCATCTCTGCCACAAACTATCCGTGTGACTTGGGGCAAGTCCCGCCAGATGGGCTTGCCAAAACGGCAGAGCGTTTGAGCATCCCAGTCTTAATCTCGCTGTGCTGTAGCTTCAGCACCAATAAAATGGGGATCACAGTGTTTCCCTTGCCTGGCTCTTCTGTTTAGATCTAAGGTCTAAGGGCAGGAACCAACTCTTATCATGTATTTGGACAGTGCTTAGCACAATGGGGCCTGATCTTGTTTGGGGCCTCTCTGTGCTGCCACAATATTCGTGATTAAAGGAATACATGCATTCGTTACTCTGTCACCTCTCCCATCGATTTCACTGATTGGGTCCTAAATAAACATAGGGACAAAGAGTGAACTTTCACTCAGTTTTATTCTTTTCTCTTTAATGTTTGCTCTTTCTTTTTAAAGAAATAAGCTGTGCTTTTCTTTCATTTGAGGATGAGTATTTTAGACTAAACTGCTAAAAGGTCAGGTATGGTTTCAGGGATCAGGTGGAGGTTTTACATGCTTAATCCCATTTTTATTCTTGTTTTTCTTAATATTTTTTGCAGCATCAGCTGCTTTCTTGGAGGTGAGCTTGAGAGGAAGTAAACTCAAGGCAAAAGAGGAAATGTAGAGATGGGTAGTGTGTGTGTGTGTGCGAGACAGAGCAATTTCAGATTGGGCGGGCTAGCTGGCTTGCTGCATGAGGTGCTTTCAGGTGCAATCTCAGGTCATGTTCCATGTGTCCTACAGTTTAGTGTCGCTTTGGTTCCTTGTAGCCGCTGCTCCAGAGGAAAATACACCACATGCAATCCAGCACAGACAACACTTGCTGCTATCAGGGGATGGGCTTTTCTACTCTAATGCACACACCTCTCACCCTGAAGAACTGTAGGGATAAGGGAACTGAGCCATTCTGGGCCAAGGCGTGGATTTTCCTCTTTCCATGTGGAAGGGGCAAGGTCTGTCACCTCCACAATATCATTCCCATGTACTCCGCTCCTCAGAAGGACCTCTGCAGGGCTGGGGGTCTGCTCCTGGGAAAGCAGTGGATCACGCATGTAGACTTGGGTAAAGGTGGGGAGACAGTTGTGTTACAGTCCCCCCTACCAACCTCTGTGTTACAGTTAATAGAACCTGAGGCTATATTAATGTTTAAGAGGAGCTTCTCCATGCTGGGGGATGGTTCTTCAAGGTGCTACAATGGACCGCCAAAGCCAGGGAGGAAGGGCTATGGAATCCAGTGTTTGTTCCATGGAGAGGCAAATGCTGTCACCTCCCCTGTCGATGAAAAGACTGGGTGAAAATTCTGCGAGGTTCATTTTGTGCCATTTTCTTCCCCTCTTTCCCGTACCGGAGGGAGCAACCTGGCCCTCAGCTAGGGGGAGACACTGATGGTGACTTGATTACAGTGCATCTCTTCACTGGTCTCATTAACCAAGCCATTTTTTCTCAGCAGCTATTGCCATGGGACACCGGCTCCTGTGAGCCCCACCACAGAGCTAAAACAGCAGCAGCGACACCCGTTCTTCTGCTCAGCAGTTCTCGTTGCCATGTGCTTGAATGAGCCACTCGGTGTGTGCATAGGCTTCCTATAAACAAGCCCTGAGCCCCACAGGGAGCAAAATGCTGGAAATGGAGTGGGCAGGGCTCTGACCCCACCCACCCTCTGCACCTGCTCACAACAGAGCTCAGATGCACCAGGCAGAGCAAGCTGTTCCCAATTCCGAGCCCAGTGGCTGGAGCAGATTGTACACCCACTGTGTGCACTGAGCAGTTCCAGGAGAGTCTGTGCTTGGCTGAGACACAGTCTTTTCTCTGCTCCTAGAGCAGTGCAGCTGCATCCCACCCCCACCGCCCCGCCCACCACAATCTAGCATCTAGATTAGAGACACTCAGCGATTTGGGATACCCCACCCATATGCTTCACTGGACCCTGACCTGAGGTGCAAGATCTGAGTTTCCTCAAAGCTTAGCATTGCATGTTCAGATTTGGGGGTTTGTTCTGGCCTATTAAAAAAATAGGGCACATCTACGAAGTTTGGTTTTGGAGCCAATCTGCCCCACAGTTCATGAGTGGTAAAATCTGAAGTTTTGGTCTGGATTGATCTCAGACCTTAACTGAAATACAATCCACAATCTGAGTCCCCCTCCACATTTCCTCCTGACCTAGCACCCTTGGAGACGGTAAGCAGTAATGTAAGGACACTGGAATTTCTCTGGCTTACCCAGCTTTTGCTCTGTGAATAAATAAAGGTGTTTAATTTCTCTGAGCTGTCAATCCCTTAACCTTCAGATTTGTTAACAACTTCTCCCTCCTATGGTCTATTTAATGGAGAAGAAGCCAGCACTTTCTACATTTTCTGAGAGATAAGCAACTCATTTAGAGCCACAAATAAGATCATAATTTGACAGGCAAAATGCCAGGGAAAATACAAACAGATTTCTCCCTCCCAGGCCCTGAATATTTTAATGATTCTTTTCTTGTTCTCCAAATTATATTTCATTTTTGCTTAATTGCAGGATCAGGTCAAGCCAAAGCTGTCGCTGTCATGCACCATCCATATGTTTTGGGTTTTTTTTTAACCTTTCGGCTGCCAGTGTTTTTCCATTTTGCCAGCCAAATGAACACAGCTCAAGAATGCCCATCAGTATCCATGCCCATCAGTATCTGTGGCAGCCATTGGATTACTCTCCTGTTTCACTGACCTGTAGATGGATGTGCCCAGCTTGTCCTTTGTGCAAGAAGCCAACATCCATAGGGTTGGAATAACAAGTATTCAGGACGCAGTATTTGCTATGAAATTTATCAAAGGGAATTAGCTACAGTCAGGGCCAGATTAAGACCTTTAGAGGCCCTAAGCACTGAAAAGATTATGGTGCCCCACCATATGTAATTCCAAATAAAAACAATACTATACCATAAAACAAAATTTTATTTTTCGAAATGACAAAAATCTTACATGTATGGTGAAATTAAAATAGCTTCTTTCTAGATTTTCTGATTGCAAAATTCCGGATAAGTTCATCGAAGCTGACTTGACGAAGCATGTCCGCTTCCATACACAGTAGGGAAAGTGAATCTAGTCTGTCCTGACACATTGTTGTTCTCTGAGGGTTTTTTATTCTTTTCAGCTGAGAAAAACAGCGTCCTGCAGAGCAGTTAGTAATCATCAATGTTAGAAAAATACGTAGTGCAATCTCTACATTTGGAAATACACATTGTACTCCATCTTTCAATATTGTGTCATGAAGATCAATGTGACTGAATTTCATTTTTCCTGTTTCATTAAACTTTGCACGCATATAACAGTGGAACTGCCGTACTTCTCCACAGAGATTCATGTTCAAGTCAACAGGGTATGAGTCAACTTGCTTTTGGGAACCTTGTGAATATTGTTCGTCAGATAAGTCCATATTGTTTAGAAAAGAAAATCTACTTGATACTTCTTTGTACACTTCACCTCTCCTCTTCATATGAGCTTGAAGTGTATCAATTATAGCGTAGTAAGTCGATACGCAAAATTTGTCTCCAGGATTCAATGCTGTTTCTGTTGCACTGCTGTCATTTGCTGTTTTTTTCCTGATTCGCTTGCGGGACTGGGCTTCTTTGTAGTTAGTATCAGGCAAGATATCTTTTGATACGTCTTCAAATCTTTCAAAATCATTCCTCAAAGTGTGTAAGTGGTCTGCTAATGATTGACAGAGGTCTGCACATGTTTTCAAATCCAATTCTTTTTCTTGGAGAGCTTGACTTGTGTGGTAAAAGTGTTGTAAAATTTCATTCCACATGGACAACATGAACACAAACTCTAGTTCTTGCATCTTGTTTGCAATGTTTTCTGCCTCTCGTATAGTTTCTCCCTTCTCTGATTGGTCTTCGGCTGTACTTTCTAATGCATCCACAATCTTTGAGTAGGACTCCAGAATTGCACTTGTAGCCACTGCATGTGCCTCCCAGCAAGTATTAGAAAGAGATTTCAACACACGATCATTGCCCAAATATGTTTTAAGAACTGCCCATCGGTGTGTTGAGGCAGAGAAAAATGTATGAAGTAACTGGACTGTTGAGAAAAAACGTACTGCCACCGGACAACAATCAACAGCTCTGCGGCCAAGACGACTGGGAGAGTACGCAGCACATGGTATGAATATGGCATATTTGTTCTGTTCGAAAAGCTTCTTCTGCACGGTCCGTGATAACGCCCTGACATGCTGGCAGCGTTGTCGTAAGATTGACCCCTGCACTTTGAGAAATCTACTTTGCAAATTTGGCACAGATAATGCAGTACTTGATTTGCCATTTCTTCACCAGTGTGGCTTTTCAAATTGAGGAATGTTATAAATGACAGGATCAGATTTCCTCGCATTATTCCGATCTATCTTAGTAGGAAGCCCCCCTGGTTTAGGTGGGGATAAGTAATAAAAAGAGAACAGAAAAATGGGGGAAGAGTGTGTCGTGGAGTGTAAGGAAGTCTAACAAAGTTCTGATTTTTCCCATGATGACTACTTCGATGCTTTTTAAAAAAATATCAAATACCAAATTTTTTCAAAAAACACCCCTCATTTTTTGGTGCCCCCCTGCTTTGCTGGTGCCCTAAGCATGTGCTTAGTCTCCCTATTGGGTAATCCATCCCTGGCTACAGTAAGTGAACAATAACTTTAAATGGCAGGGCTACAAAAAGAACCAAGGCTGATAAAGGCAAACCAGTAATTACAATATTAGTGGTGTACGCACACTGACTTTCTAAACCATTTTAAAATTAAATAATGCATTGTCTATCCACAATGCCTTCTAGTCAAGAAGCCCAACAGGCTTTACAACTGGAACCTCGTTGTACCCTAGGCCAGAGCATCCCCTCCAATGGAACGAACTGTGCGAGGGGCCTCCGGGGGAAGAAATCTATTCAAGCTAGCCCTTCTCTGATGGTTCTGTCAGGGTGAGGTTGCCCCCTCGACAGCTAGGCTCTGGGGCCTTCCCCCACCAAACTTGGCAATCCAGCCCTGCTGAGGCCCTGTGCTTTTGCCCTTGCTTGGTCACCCCAGTGCTCTCCACTCCCAGAGTCGGGGGTCCATGGGAAAAATAATATAGCCTCAGGCTTTATTGTTTCTGCGGCACCTCCATGAAGTGGGATGGGGAGATGAGGTATGGCCTCACTGGCCCCTGCCCTCAGTGTGACCACTTTTGCCATCTAGCACCCCAAGCTTCCTAGTCTGGATCCATGAATCGTTGTCTTTGGCAACTTATGACACACCTCATGTGCCATGCACCCCCACATACACCCAATGTGTCATACATATTTGTGAGGAAGAGTCACCCCGTGAGGTGTGTATTATTAGGCCCATTTTACAGATGGGCACACTGATGCATAGAGGATTAAGTGATTTGCTTAAGATTACCCAGTACATCAGAGCTGCAAATACAACACTGGATTCCTAACTCCAAGCGCCTTATAACCAATAGGCAGCACTTTCTTTCCTAATTATGTTCATAATTCCCTCCCCATCAGAAGGAAAAGAACTCATTCTATGGCTAGTGTATTTGATTAGTTTGTTTCCAAGGTGAGATGCCAGCTGTGATTATTCTATCTAAATAGTTTAAAATACTAATTTCAAATGACAAGACGTTTAAAAATTGGGATTTTCGTCACAACTGGCTTGAAGGGAGAAGAATCGTATATTTGATTTTACTTAGTGTTCATACTGGAGGAAATGGACTCCAGCCTTGCTCTTTAATATTTAATAAAATGTTATTAATTTTTAAAAAATAAGATTTCATTTCTGATTTACCCCTACCTCCAGAGTCCCAACAAAGCTTATCTAGTGCTGCCAATTTTGCACTGAGGTTTGCATTTGGTCTTGGTATCTTTTAAAAAAATATTTTATTTTTTTTAATCTCTGAAGTGCCCGAAACTGAAGCAAAGCATCTCAGAGAAGTTGCCCAGCATTGCAGCACAGAGACATCATTTCAGCAGGAATGGCCAAAGTGATTGTTTTGGTGCAAATAATATAATGTGATCCACACGTATCATTTAGGCTGTGTTTCTGCTCCCACTGAAGTCAATGGCAAAGCTCTCCACAGGAGTGGGAGCCATCGGTCAGTGAACAGCCCGTAAAGTCAGGCTGGTCTTGTGCAGTGACTGCCCAGTGACTCTACTGCACGGCAAGTTAATTGCACGGTAATGAATTAATCTTGTGGTGATGAGGTGCATGACTCAGGCCAGGGCTTCAGGGATAGTTCAGGGTTTGGGGAGCAATAAAAGCAAATCACTGCTCCAGTGCAGAAGGGAATGGCACTGCTTAGATAAGAGGTGAGTGAATCCTGCAGCAAAATCATTGTTCTCTTTAATTATACAGTTGGGAGGACTGGGAACGGCACCTTGGTGCCTCTCAGCTCCATTTAGAGCCTATTGCTAGAGCCCAAATGTTACATGGGCCATCCATGTGCCATGCACTTATTTCTGATCTCATCCCTCAATGGGAAGAATTTGGGAGGAAGGAATTAAAACCCAGTAAATTCTTGTTTGTGTGAGGCTGGCTGAGTTCTGGGCATAAAGCAGGGACTCAGAGCTCACACAAAACAGCACAGTTAGCTTCCTCAAGCGGCTTTGGGTGAAAGAGGAGCACTTGTTTACCGCTTCTGCAGGTGGCAAGAGTCCTTTATATCCAGCTCTGGGCATAAAAATAATGAGCTGGTGAATTTGTTAATTTGCTGTCTGCTCTTAGTTGTCTAAATGGTCTAGCTGGATTTTGGTTATCATAATGAGTCATTGAAAAAGCAGGTTTGCTTCATGGATGGCTATTATTTATTTATGGTATTACAGTAGCACCCATTGGCCCCAGTCAGGTTTGGGGGCCCCCTTTATGCCAGGTGGGTGCTATACAAATGCATAAACTACAGCGCTTCAGCCACTTTACAGCAGCACACTCCCTTGAACCTGGGCAACTGGGCATCACGCATAACGCACAGTTGCCCAAAGGCTGCTTTAATATGCAATGGCTGCCAATAGTCCACCATGGGCCAGTATGACTAATGGGCATTAGTAGGGCATAAGGATGCACCAGCCATGACCCTTGTCCTTAGCTCTGACCTTACAGAAGGGACAGCAGTATAGAAGCCACAATGCTGGCTCAGGGACACTAGAGGATCCCCCTGTACTAGAGTGAGCCTCCTGGGGTTAGCTACGTTGTGACATGGAGGCCACTTTGCACCATTAGTGAGCTCAAAGCAGCTGCACTGCAGTATAGCAATGGTTTCATTCTCTTCCTTCAGGACAAGACAGGAGAGCTAGCTGGAAGTTTGCTAACAGAATGTTTATCCATTGGAAAATTTAGCTTCATCAGACACAAACCATTTAGTAGAAGCATTTCTATTTCAGTGAAACGTTTCAGAAAGAAGACAGACCCCAGAACAAAGCATTCAACTAAGATTTTTCTGTTTCAAAACAACTGTTTGTTTCCATTTAAAAATTTTTATCATATAAACATTTTAAAAAGTCAAAATTGAAAGGAAACATTTCAGTTTACCCAAAACAATTCACCCCCCACCCCCGAATTTCATTTGGTGGGACAATGTGAAATGTTTTGGTTTTGTTCTGTTTTAAATGGGAATATTTTTGAAATCGCAACATTTCCCAGGCAGTGGACAATCCAGCTCCTGCTCAGTGGCACAAATCAGAGATAAGCTGCCAGAATTCTAAAAACAGGCACCCACACCATTTCCTTCAATTAGCTGGTAACAATCGTCAGGTACCGTGCTCCCTGAGAAGAAAGAAGGCCTCAGTGGAGTGACCTTAGATTCATTTTGGAACAGCTAGGAGAATTTGGCCCAGGACTATAACAAATGCAGTCACAAATGAATTGGGAAGCTGGTTGTGTTATTCCTTCATGTACAAAAGCCAAAGTAGGGGCCCAACTCGCATCCTGCAGGATAGGATTAACTGCCATTGACTTAAATCACCTCATGTGTGGGTGAGAACAGGGCCCTGTAGTAGAAAGCCAAATATTCTCTCTAATCCTGGATTTCTCTTACTGTGAGTCACTGAGCTGATTAGAGTATAATATTCATATATCTATTTTTCTATTGTGGGCAACTAACGTTTTCCTGCAGCACATAGTGGGGAATATAGATAATCAAGTCCAGGCCTTCTCAGTTTTGAAGGTGAAGTAGCAAGTCTGGATGTGAGATATTACTCATATCACACGGTGGGGTCTTGATGAAACAAACAAATCTCTAAGAAAAAACAAAACACCTTTCTTATAGAGGGAATTGCCTGCACAGTTATTTCCAGCTTGCCAAATCTGTGTGTAATCTGTCATAGAGAATTAAAGAAGATATAATATTTCTGGATCCACCACTGGCCTACACATTTAAATATTGCACGGTAAAGCAAGGTGGCTCTTTTTTCTAATCATCATCATCATGTGTCTTTCTCCTGTGCGTCCCCTGATTCTGCTTGTTGTATAAATGGATGCTGTCCATCAAGGACACTCATCCCTTATCTCTTCCTCTTGAGGGGTGGGGTGGGGGGATTCACTCATGGGACAAGAGAAAGCACCACTCAGTTGGCCAAAATAGGTTGCTATTGCAATGGGGATTTTTTTAGTTTATATTCTGTTTTCCTTTTGTCTTAAGGTCTAACTAGGATGCACGAAGGGCTAATGCAGAGAACCTTTTCAGTCAACTTCAGAGCTACTAGAACCTTGAATTCAAAAAGACAAACCAAAAAGCTGTTGCTTTTCTTTGTCAAACCCAATCACATTGACACAGCTGCAAAACCGAAGGCCCCGCACTTCATTGACATGAAACCCAAGAACAAACTGCAGGAAATTCAAAGTTTAGGCTGATGAGCAGCCCTTAAACCGCCCAGTTGTGACTAGATTATTGAGCCAATAGACACTAACAGCTCTTTTGGAGCCATTACAGTCTCTAGCCTAAATACATACTTAAGACCTTTCTTTAAAACCCTCAATTATTGATCTGGCAGCCTGTAACAGGTCCCTTGGAGCTCTTACCATGTAACTGTCAGTGCTATGGCTGCTGCCCATATCCATGAAGCCTGTATGCGAAAACCACCTTGTTCTACAAATGTTACCACAGAACTTGAGGCAGGGCCAGATTAAGGGAGCGGCTTTAGGGGCTGCAGCCCAGGGCTCCGGCTCATGGGGGCCCCCACAAAAGTAAATCACAGGCAGCAATCTCTGGGCTGCTGAAAGGGGCGCTCAGGCAGGCTGTCTGCCTGCCATACCCCCACGTTGCTCCCGGAAGCAGCTTGCTGCTGGCACGTCTCTGCGGCCCCTGGGGGGCACTCGGTGGCTTCATGCGCTGCACCCACCCCCAACAGCATCCCTGCAGCTCCTGGCCAATAGGAGCTACAGGGGCGGTGCTCGCAGGTGCAGGCAGTGCACAGAGACCCGCTGGCTCCCTTCCCCCAGGGGCCAAGAGATGTGCTAGCAGCCAGCTGCTTCTGGGAGCGGCATGGGGCTATTGCAGGCAGGCAGCCGGAGCCCTGCTGCGCTGCTGGCTGGGAGCTGCCTGTGGTAAGCACCACCTGGCCAGAGCCTGCACCTCACCCCTGCTCCAGATCAGAATCCCCTCCTGCACCCAAACTCCCTCCCAGACCCCAACCCCCTGCCCCAGGTCAGAATCCCCTCCTGCACCAAACTCCCTCCCAGGAAAAAGACTTATATACAGGGGCCCCATAAAATCTAAAAGCCCCGGGCCCACAGGAGCGTTAATCCAGCCCTGTCTGGAGGATTTCTTCTTCCATATGAAGTCACGCTGTCTATATTTTGTTGCTGTCCCCACCCCAGCCCAGATACTGTATCAGATGAAGGCACACCATGGAATAAGGACCTGCAGAAGTCAGTTTGAAAACTGTTGCTCAAATTCTGTCCTCAGCCCCAGAGTGCACCCTGCTGGGGGCTGGGGGCATAGAAACCTCAGCAAGGGCTTCCTTAGGCTTGGTCCTTGGGGGGGGGGGAGAGGGGGTAGCATTGCTCCCTAAGTTCTGCCTCCAAGCAGCATAGATCTTTCAGACCCTGCAAGAGGCGAAGGCCCTGTCCCCCAGAGTTGCTCTGACATCTCCCCTACTGCTCCCTGATATTTTAGTTCTGTTGGGGCCATGCTGCTAGGGCTTCTCGCAGTGGTCACTACCCCCATAACCTCCTTTAAAGCAGAGCTTTCCTAAGTGCGGAGGGCCGGCAGAAGAGTTAATGCAGTTCCAGTCTGTGTTATTCCCTGCCAGATTTTCCAAGTGGCTTGGAGGGGGTCAATGCACGCTCCCCACCCCCGCACCTCTAGCCTCTCCCTTCCTGCTCCTGGCTGCCTTCTCCTCAGCTTTGGCACTCTAGTTCCACAGCTGGAATGCTGTGCGGTCTGTGGTAGCAAGGGAATGTTTCCAGAGATGCCTGGGTGGGGTGGGGATCTGTGCGTCAGAAACCCTCAGTGTAGATAATACCCTCCAGACATGCTGTCTTCCATGTATGCCAGTGTAAATCCAGAGAAATCTCACTGACTTCAGTGAAGTTAGTCTGTATTTCTAGTGGTGTGAGCTCAAAACTGGGTCTGAAATAATTTTTTTTTAAAGTAATGGCATGCAGCAAATAGCTGAAATTCTTGCATTTCCATCGGCTCGTGTGAAAAGCACAAATATCCCCTGAGCAGTCTGAAAACAAAACACCATCCAGGCCACATTTTTATGATTGAGACA